GCGTGTGCGTGGGTGCGTTCGTGTGCGTGTGCGGTGCGTGTGCGTGGTGCGGTGCGTGTGGCGTGTGCGTGTGCGTGTGCGTGTGCGTGTGTGTGTCGTGGCGTGTGCGTGTGCCGTGTGCGTGTGCGTGTGCGTGTGCGTGTGCGTGTGCGTGTGCGTGTGCGTGTGCGTGTGCGTGTGCGTGTGTGTGTGCGTGTGTGTGCGTGTGTGTGTGTGTGTGTGTGTGTGTGTGTGTGTGTGTGTGTGTGTGTGTGTGTGTGTGTGTGTGTGTGTGTGTGTGTGTGTGTGTGTGTGTGTGTGTGTGTGTGTGTGTGTGTGGGGGGGGGTCTCCTGCTCCTCGAGAGGGTGCTCAACAACAACCGCCCAGAAATGCCCGCCTACCCCTCATTACCCCAGACACCTGGTGCTTCGAGCACAAAGCCTCTGGTGCTTCGAACACGAAACCGAGGCGGCCGGCTCCTCGCCTCATGGGAAGCTCACGTCGGGCCCCTCGGGCCCTTGAAGAGGAAAAGGCTAGGGATGCAGAGCCGGCCCCAGCGCGCCAAAGCCCGGCCTGGCGAAACATGGTTGAACAAAGCAATTGCGCGGCCCCTTTGATTCGAGCACGTGCTACCCACCTACGTGCTCGGACGTCCAGGTCTCCCCGCAGTGCGCGCCCGTGCTCCCGCACACACGTTCTAGAACTTCATGCTCTGAGCGTGCTCCGTTCCCCCTGCCGCGCGCCCGCTCTCCTCCCTCGCCTGTCGTGCCCAACGAGGCCCCGCAGTGTCCCTGGGCTGCTCACGAGCGCGGCGTGGATCCCCGCCGGTGCGGCCAACAAGTGTTTTGTTGCGTCGCCCAAGTCGAAGGGCAGGAGAAATACCGACTCCCGCAACCGTCAGGAGCGATTATCGATCCCCCCGGTTATCTGCAGTACTCGAGATTATGAACTCATCCCGAGGGGGGGAACCGCCGAACAATATCGTGAGCACCACAATACATTTTGATAACTTCCATATCTCCGCGGGGGCGGGAGCGGTGGGAGTAAGACGAGTAAGACAGCCCAAGGCGGCCTCTCTGAGGATGTCTTACTCATCTTGGGCTCGCATTGGAAGTCCATTAGCGTCTTGTTGGCATCCGATTAAGATCTCGGTGGGATCCCGCACTGAGGGGTCCAGGATCCGGAGATCAACTCCAGGGGCGGGAAGCGATATGCCGCCGCGCCGTTTGCTTTCAACGCGCCCAATTCTTGAAGTGGACGACGCCGACGCCATGGAAAGAAAACCCACGGCAAACCCTTTGCCCGAGGCGGCGTTTGCCCTGGTGGTCGAGGAGCCCTCCCCAAGCCAGAATGCCGCGCGTCGGAACAGACGGCGCGGCGGCACATCGCTTCGCCGACAAAGGAAAGGGGAAGTCGATCATCGCTTCTAGCCACTCCTCCCGTCTTCGACTCTCTGCAGGTGGGCCCTCGCCGCCGTCGGCTGGACTCGCCCCGTGGGCCCCTTCCCCTGGTTCTCGGCATCGCTCGGACGTGCGCATTTTTCCTTGGCGAGCACCAGCGAGGATGGAACGTCTCGCGAAAATTAAATATGAGAAATCTAAATACATTTTTGTACATACATATATATATATATATATATATATATATATCGATTATATATATATATATGTATATCAATATATTATATTATATATATATATATATATCGATCTATATATCTATATATAATTATATAGCTGTCTAAATATATGTAAATGTATAGATATGTGTGTATATATATATATATATATGCACGGGGAGTGGACGTCCGAGCGATGGCAGAGGCCACGGCGCAACTCCCCGGGCGAGGCCCGGGGAGCGGGACCTCGGCGGCCTCGCGAGGAAAGGAGGGCAGCGGAGGGGAGCGAGGGGCAACGATTAGGGGGGGCTGGGCATAGGGGGGGATGCATCGACCTGGAATCGGCGATACATCGTCGATAGATCTACACCCTGCGAAATGGTTAAGAAACCATGGGTTAAGAAATTCATGGTCTCAGAACTTGCGTAAAAACCCAACATTTCTATTGAAATCTTAGGATTTACATTGAAACGTTAAGAATAATCGAGACTCTGGCCGAAAACTTAGGATTTCTTAAGCATCGCCCAAGGTGTAGACGAGCGCGTTCCACTGCTCGCAAAGTCACTGCTCGCAAAAGGCCTGGATCCGCCGCGAGGGACCTACGATAAATGACATCGAAGCAGACCTGTGTGTTTTCGGAAGTGGAGCGCGCTCGGCGAAGATCGGCGATAGGCCTCCGATAGTGAATCCGCACCTTCCTGGGCAGGTTGGGGCGACTGGGCCCCTATCGGCGATCCATGGGCGATTGGGGGTCGATGCATCCCCCTCTATGCCTATCCCCCCCTATCGTTGCCCCTGAGGGAGGGAGGGAGGGAAGGGGCACGCAGAGTTACGGGCTACGGGCTACGGGCCCCCGTAAAGTACAGTGGAACCCCGACCACAGGAAACCTCCCACAGGAAACACAACCCTGAGACCCCAGGACGTGCACTGGCTCTTGGTGTGGGAGCGTCGCGCTCGCCACAGCAGAACCGTCGAGACCCAAGAAACCCGGGGCACCCTGGAGGCAAGCAGGGTGCTTCTGGCATGGCCCCTTGCTATACTGCGCTCCTGCCGGGAGACGGGGTGGGCGCGGCGGCGCGGGAAAGCCTACGATTGATGAAAACGCCCATGGCTGGCCCTCATGGATCTTGAACTCTGCGGCGTGGACATGGGTCACCAGGAGGCACGAGGAGGAAGAGGCTGCAAACACTCACGCTTCCCCGAGATCCAACACGGCCCGACGACGCGAAACAAGTGCAACACCGCGCAAAACCACGACCGGAGCCCTGGACCCCAGCTTTGCACGGCGTGTTCCAGGCCGGATTGATCTGTGATGGCCACGGCTCCCGAAGCAAGGCGAAGACGCCAGGGGTGAAAACACTGCCACCCCCTTCATCTCGGTGTTCGACGCGCCTTCCCGCCATCACCCCTCTGGAGCAAGAAGAAACAGCACGAGCATAAACCTCTGACGGTCCGCGCGGACCGTCAACAGTTTACGCGTATGCTGTCTTGTCCTCTTCGACTCACCCCCCCGACAGTCCAGACGGCTTCCGCCGAGACGGGCGCGGGCTCCGGCCCGCACGGGTGCTCCATGGTGGTGGCCGCGTCACCGGCGCGGCAGACGGCCTCTGCCTCAATCGCGTGGCGCACACATGTCCGTATCCGCGCACTCGCGGCCCGTGCTCCAAGGCGCGGTCCCGCGGATACGCGGTCTGGAGGAGGGGAAGGGGCAGCAGGAGGAGGAGCAGCAGGAGGGTCACGTTGACGATGACGACGAATACGACGACGACGATGACGACGATGACGATGACGACGACGACGACGGCGACGGCGAGGACGAGGACGAGGATGAGGACGACGACGGAGACGACGACGACGACGACGGACACGACGACGAGGAGGGGGAGGAGGAGGAGGAGGAGGAGGAGGAGGAGGAAGAGGAAGAGGATCAGCAGGAGGGTTACGTTGACGATGACGACGAATACGACGACGATGACGACGATGACGATGGCGATGACGATGACGATGGTGATGGCGATGACGATGGCGATGATGATGATGATGATGATGATGACGATGATGACGATGATGATGACGATGATGATGAGGAGGAGGAGGAGGAGGAGGAGGAGGGGAAGGAGGAGGAAGAAGAGGACCAGGAGGAGGAGGAGGAGGAGGAGGAGGAGGAGGAGGAGGGGGAGGGGGGGAGGGGGAGGAAGTGGAGGAGGAGGAGCAGGAGGAGCAGGAGGAGGAAGAGGAAGGGAGGGAGGAGGAGGAGGAGGAGGAGGAGGAGGAGGAGGAGGAGGAGGAGGAGAGGAGGAGGAGGAGGAGCGGGAGGAGGAGGAGCGGGGGGCCGAGGGGAAGAGGAGCACAGACGTACACTCCGCGCGGGGCACGCGCGACGGCACGCCCCGAGGATCCGCGGGGTTCGCGGCCCAGGGGCCCCGCCCGCGAGGCCGCAGATCCGGACAGGTCTGTCGCCCACGGCCGCCTGCGCAGGGCAAAAGGCGGCCTGCTGCCGGCTCCGGGAGAGCCCGCCGCCGCTCCTGCGTTTGGGCGCGCCCCTCCCGCTCGGAGGCCCCGCCCCCCCCCCCCCCCCCCCCCCCTCGGAGGGAGGCCACAGCTACGGGCTTCCTTTTTTCTTGCGCAGGCTGCCGAACGCACTCGCTCGTAGCATCAGGGACGGCGGCAGCGGCCGCCGACAGCAAGAGAGGAGCGAGCCTCGGGCACCGTGCACGCCACGCTGGAGAGGGACGGCGAGACTCGAGACCCCCTCAACCTCCATCATCTCCAACCTCCCAACATGAGCAGCCCCGCCAGCAGCATGTGGCGGACGGGAGCGAGGAGGAGCGACTGCAGGCCAGGCTGGCGTCGCGAGCTCCGCAGTCAGGCGAGCGAAACGTCGACAGGTAAAGGCCTAAATGCGGCACTGCCGACACGTGGCTCGAGAAAACAGCGCAGGGATAGCACAAAGGCAATCAGCAAGAGAACAGACAGGATGATGGGAGAAGCATGGATAGCAAGACGATGAGAGAGAGGAAGGAAGGATCAGTGCAGCATATGCAGGACGAAGGCTTCGGGACCAAGAGCCTGGAGGAGCACTGGGTCCAAGGGGCCTGACTCATCCTAAACAAACAACGCCTGCTCCTTGGTCCCAAGCCGAGTCCCCGAGCGCCGTGGGCATGGGCTGCACGAAGAGCGAAGCGGCGCCCCCCCAGGTCCCACAGCCTCGTCTTCCACCCCAGAGTCTCTGAGGCGAGGCTAGGTGCGCCACCGCCCCAGAGCCAGCGATGTGGCCAACACGGCCTCTGCCAGAGCCAGCGAAAGTTGTAGAGACCACGCACCTTGGGGCCTGGAGGGGTTCACTGGGGCCCCTGACAGATCCCGCTCGAAGTTGAAAACGCAATGCACACACAAGACTGACAGGCCCTCAGACATGCCTACTGCTGGTTGTGGGACACGTCGCAAAAGTACTCGCCGCTGCTGGACTGCTTCTCGCAGTTCTGGTACAACTGCCAGAGCTACGGCCGTGCGTGCCGTAGGAGCGACCACTGCCATCGGGACTCCCAAAGCGTGAGCTCCAAAAAGAAGTAGCAGCAGACAACGTAACTCAGTGTTACCAGCAATCACCTGATCACGAAGCCGTGGGGGTAGTCGCGGTTCGCCCCAGGGCGCAGTCGAGGAACGAAGTGCGGCTCGGTCCCCAGCTCGACTAAGGTTGGCACCCAGAAGTTGTGGCCTGCCTCGAAGAACCGCTCGTTCGGCTTCTGTGAGGTTCGAAGGTACTGCCGTACGCCTCCACGTGGTCAGCTTTGGGGCCGCAATAATACCTGCCACTTTGCCTTCAGACATCCACTTCATCAACTCGCCGACCTCCGAAACTCCGAGCGACCATTGCACACGCTCCCCATCATCGTCAGAAACAGTCTCGTGCTGAAAGTGCACCTCTGCATGATGACGGGAAAGCAGCCGTACCCAGTTGCAACACTCGCTCACATCTTCATTGTAGTTCAACATGTGAACCTCATCGGCTGCCCCAAGAGATGTCCTTGTCATCCGTGGAAGGTCGTCGCCAAGGGTCCCCTGAACTGTGGGCGGTGGTACAGGATGGTATAGATCGCCTCGTCCTCCCCAATGCTGGATACCTCCAACTCCATCATTAGATTCACATCTCGACTTCTGGAATACTTTGAGTCTGTGATACCCTCGATGCGCCTGGTCCCGCTCGACAAGTAGATCGTCGTGACGTCGGAGATGAGCCTCAGCCTCATCGAGCGGGAGTGCGTGTTGTCCCAGCCATAGCAAGCATCGGTTCCCGACCATGCGCAAGTGTTTGATTAGTAGTGATCGATTTCCAAAGATTCTGCCGCATGCACGCATTGGTTGCCCCACGCCGCTTTCTGTGCCAGGTCAATGGGGTTGTGCTCGAGCTGGTGGCGACGCCATGCTGCAACAGTAGCCACAGTCTCGCCACATGTGTAGCAAAGATACTTCAACTGCGGGGCTTCAGGGGGATGCTCAAGCCGGGCGTGTCCGATGCGACGGAGCCAACTTTGATGGGCAAGTCGATCCAGCCCCAGCGGCAACCAGTGCTTCCATACGCGGTTGACAAGAAACTTGAACTCATGGGGGCATCAGAAGCAAACTCGAACCATCGTCGTAACGTCCAGTCTTCGGGTCCACCTTTGATGTTAAACTTGCCCAGCCATCGAAAGTCCTCAATTATCAACGATGTCCAGAAATCATTTTGCGAAGCCATCATATCGACTAGGAAAAACAACGCCGACGGTGCCGTGGTAAATAATGATCCAAAATAAATAAGCCGCCTCCTTCTGATAACATGCTCAATTCCAACCCGCTTAGCCAAGCACAATACCTCGGTATCCAGTATGTAGTCATTCGTCTCTGCATGGTGCTGCTTCCCGACCGCCGTGCGGTATGAGCGAAGCCTTGGGGTCTCCGAAGCATTCTTCTGGGATTGCCGCATACCGTGCCAGACCTCAGTAAGATATAGCAGGTGCACGTTGGCGAGAACATCGCAGAGATTTACCTTAGCAGCTAGCGTCAGCCGGTGCAACCGAGCCGTCATCCTTTGGATCGGGTCCAGAGCCGTCTTCTGTTTGCTGGTGGCCAGGGCTATTCGTGGCCCGAGCGACGCCTCCTCGTCCACCATGGTCCCCAAGTACCTGTAGTCCCTCACAAGATGAGCTTCAGCGCGCCACTCTGGCGTCACGATCCTGGCGTTGGGAAAGCTTTGCAAGCGAAGAGTAAGATCTCGAGCTCCAACGCCAGCTGGAATGATCATAACACTGCTCTTGTGTCGCTGGTAGTTCACAGTGAAGCCGTGGGTGACCATGCGCTTATGAACGCAATCGGCTGCCAGGCCCGCGGTGTTAATAGCCTCACCCGTAGACCGTGGTGTAAGTAGGTAGAGCCCGTCGTCTACGAAGGAAACGTCCAGAAGCGTAGGGAGGGCAAGTCCTGACGAAAAAGTTGCATTACCAGCAGGAACGGTGAGTTCGAGGGATAGACCGTACTGGGAGAGCTCCGCGTCGATAGCCTTCAGTGGTTTTACGAAGGAGATGTTGAAGATCGCATCGGCTAACGAACTGCCTGGTCGCGAACCCCGACGGGACCTCGCCGCATCTTGGCCGTCTTGCCCAGCCGTGCCAAAGTGAGTGTCACGGTGTCCTTCTACGAGAAGTGCAAGCAAATGCGGTTGGTCCTCCAACCGTGCTAACGCTCCTGGCTGTGACAAGATGAATTCGAACATCGGTAGCAGGACGATCGGGATGTCGTGGTTGTGCAGAACAGATTCTCGATCGTCGTCGTCGTTGCACGTTGGTAAGACCAAGGAACGAATGGTAGAATAGAAAGCCGCTTTCAAGTCGATGAAGTACAGGATGGCAGTCTTGCCTACTGTCTTGCATGCCTGCATGAAGGTGGTCATCAAGTGAAGCAACTGCGCAGGCCCTCTCTGTGATCTGCCACCGCGTTGAGTATCCTTGAGCATGAGGTGCAGGTATTGCGCCAGCTGGTCACGAAGTAGGCGATGCCAGCACTTGCTGATAATTCCATTGAGAAGGATAGATCGGTAGTTGTCCAGGCAAGTCGGGGATCCTTTTCCTTTGAAGAGGGGAAAGACTATGCCATGCTTCCATGCCAGCGCCTCCTGTTGGTGTATGCTCGTCTTGACGAAGATTGGGGCATAGTGTCGTGCCATAGCTGCGGGATGGGCTGTCAGTAGGTCGCCCGATATCTGGTCCTGGCCAGGGGCCTTGCGTCGCTTCACACCCCGAAAGAGCCTGCCAACTCTGAAAGGTCCTGGAACGAGGTCAATTTGAAGATTGTCGATCAGCAAATCATGATGAAACCGCTGGTTGTACAACCTTGCCAAGTGCGTCGTTTGCATCACCTCCGCGTCCTCAGTAAGAGCGAAGTGTTGGATAACTGCAGCCGCTTCCTGCTTGTCATTCTCGAATGCGTGGCCTTGGCTGTCCGTTAGGTGGGCGCTTCTGCTACTCCTTCCAGGTCGGCCTCCATAGCGCAGTAGTATCTTCAAAAGGCGCCATTCATGGTGAGCATCGCCACGCCTAGCGCAACCCTCCATCTCTGCACCAATACGCTCAAGGTGCTGCACTCGATCATGGTGAATAGCAGTCTTGACAATCTTGCCTGTCGTGTGCAAGAACTTTCGCAAGTGGCCAATAAACACTGTATCTGTCAACATTGGATCATATCTTTTCGCGCTGCAAAGAAGACGTAGACGCCGAACGTCTTGTGCCCATGGCTTGTCTTCGACTGGGTGAAATAGTGGATCTTCGAGATGAGTGAGTAACAATGCCCATGGTGCCGTCGAAGTGCCATTGCTAGGTGTTCTTGTAGCTTGAGCCACATAGCGTCGTAGTCGTATCAATTCCATCGTCGAACTCGTAATGTAGAGCTGGATAGGAGTCAGCAGCCCAGCTCCATAGCAGTTGGCAGCTACCTCGCGGATCATGGTGTCCGTCAACTGCTGGTGGTCGTTTACGTCCAGAGCCCACGGCGGTAGTGATCGTGATGATAGTTCTGCCTCGAATCTACCTCTGCATTCATCATCTTGAAGCTTGGCTCGGTCTAATCGAGATCGTGCCTGCCCCTTCTCGGTCTTGCGTACAATCGTGTGCTTGAACGTAGCCATTACGAGTAGATGGTCAGCAGTATCCGTATAAGTGTCCAGGGAATAGTCTATCTGGCATGATGTGCAATATCCATGGAAGACGCCATTGGCGATCACGTGGTCGTTTTTGTGCAGAGTGCCAGCGCTACTGATATACGTATGTCCTGAAGCTTCTTCGTAGAACGTGGATTCCACATACAACTCATGGTCCAAGATAATCTGCCTCATTAGGTGCCCTGGGAGATCGTCTTCATCAGGCGTGCAGTCTTCCTTGAGGAAATTCCCAATGCCGTCGTGGCTACCCTGTCGTAGTGTAACACGAGGCCGCTGGCCTAAGTGCGCATTGAGGTCGCCCAAAATCAAGGCCGGAGGCCATTTCAATAGAAA